ACCGTGACAGACCAAAACCCCTGCAAGCGGACAACACCATGACGGACCAAAACCCCTGGAAGCGGACAATACCGTGACAGACCAAAACCACTGGAAGCGGACAACCCCCTGCAGACCAAAATCCCTGGAAGCGGACACCACTGTGACAGACCAGAATCCCTGGAAACGGATACCACCATGACAGACCAAAACCCCTGGAAGCGGACAACACCATGACAGACCAAATTCCTCAGAAGCGCACAATTCTATGACAGATCAAAATTCCTAGAAGCGCACATCACCGGGTCAGATCCAAACCCCTGGAAACGGACAATGCAAACTCCCTAAAGGCGCACAACACCGTGACAGACCAAAACCCCTGCAAGCGGACAACACCATGACGGACCAAAACCCCTGGAAGCGGACAATACCGTGACAGACCAAAACCACTGGAAGCGGACAACCCCCTGCAGACCAAAATCCCTGGAAGCGGACACCACTGTGACAGACCAGAATCCCTGGAAACGGATACCACCATGACAGACCAAAACCCCTGGAAGCGGACAACACCGTGACAGACCAAAACCCTGGAAGCGGACAACACCGTGACAGACCAAAACTCCTGGAAATGGACAACACCATGACAGACCAAATTCCCTGGAAGCAGACATCACCGTGACAGACCAAAACCCCTGGAAGCGGACGTCTCCGTGACAGACCAAAACCCCTGGAAGCGGACAACACCATGACAGACCAAACCCCCTGGAAGCGGACAACACCGCAGACAAAAACTCCTGGAAGCAGAAATCACCGTGACAGACCAAAACCCCAAGAAACGGACATCACCATGACAGACCAAAACCCCTGGAAGCGGACAACTCCATGACAGACCAAAAATGACAGACCAAAACCCCTGGAAACGGACATTACCGTAACAGACCAAAACCCCTGCAAGTAGGTCACTCCGTGCCAGAGGAATCGGACAACACCATGACAGACCAAAACCCCTAGAAACAGACAACACCGTGACAGACCAAAACCCCTGGAAGCGGACAACACCATGACAGATCAAAACCCCTGGAAGCGGACAACACCGTGACAGACCAAAACCCCTGGAAGCGGACAACACCATGACAGATCAAAACCCCTGGACGCGGACAACACCGTGACAGACCAAAATCCCTGGAAGCGGACAACACCGTGACAGACCAAAACCCCTGGAAGCGGACAACACCATGATAGACCCAAACCTCTGGAAGCGGACAACACCATGACAGACCAAAACCCCTGGAAGCGGACAACACCATGACAGACCCAAACCTCTGGAAGCGGACAACACCATGACAGACCCAAACCTCTGAAAGCGGACAACACCATGACAGACCAAAACCCCTGGAAGCAGACAACACCATGACAGACCAAAACCCCTGGAAGCGGACAACACCGTGACAGACCAAAATCCCTGGAAGCGGACAACACCATGACAGACTAAAATCCCTGGAAGCGGACAACACCGTGACAGACCAAAACCCCTGGAAGCGGACAACACCATGACAGATCAAAACCCCTGCAAGCGGACAACACCATGGCAGACCAAAATTCCTGGAAGTGAATATTATCATGATAGACCAAAATCCCTAGAAGTGGACAATACCGTGACAGACCAAAACCCCTGGAAACAGACAACACCGTGACAGACTAAAACCCCCTGGAAGCGGACATTACCGTGACACCGTAATAGATCAAATCCCCTGGAAGCAGACAACACCGTGACAGACCAAAACCCCTGGAAGCGGACAATACCATGACAGACCAAAACCCCTGGAAGCGGACAACACTGCGACAGATCAGAACCCCTAGAAGCGGACATGACCGTGACAGACCAAAACCCCTGGAAGCGGACAACACCGTGACAGACTAAAACCCCTGGAACCAGACAACACCGTGACAGATCAAAACCCCTAGAAGCGGACAACACCATGACAGACCGAAACCCCTGGAAACAGACAACACCGTGACAGACCAAAACCCCTAGAAGCGGACAACACCAAGACAGACCAAAAACCCTGGAAGCGGACAACACCGTGACAGACCAAAACCCCTGGAAGCGGACAACACCGTGACAGATCAAAACCCCTGGAAGCGGACAACACCGTGACAGACCAAAACCCCTGGAAGCGGACAATACCGTGACAGACCAAAACCCCTGGAAGCGGACAACACCGTGACAGACCAAAATCCCTGGAAGTGGACATTACCATGACAGACCAAAACCCCTGGAAGCGGACAACACCGTGACAGACCAAAACCCCCGGAAGCGGACAACACCGTGACAGACCAAAATCCCTGGAAGCGGACAACACCATGACAGACCAAAACCCCTGGAAGCGGACAACACCGCAACAGACCAAAACCCCTGGAAGCGGACAACACCATGACAGATCAAAACCCCTGGAAGCGAACAACACCGTGACAGACCAAAACTCCTGGAAGCGGACAACACCATGACAGACCAAAACCCCTGGAAGCGGACTACACCGTGACAGATCAAAACCCCTGGACGCGGACATCACCGTGACAATTCAAAACCCCTGGAAGCGGACAACACCATGACAGATTCCCAGCAGGACCACCACTTTGTCACCATTCACTTGCATGAAGAAATCAAGATCCAGGGAGTGCTGGACCCCATGCTCAAGCCACAAACGAGGGGCATTGGACGACTGACCATACGCCGAAGCCTCACAGAAGCCGCACAGCTACCGCCACTACCGTTACCACCACCATCTGCCACCATCTGCAGTCTGTGCGGCAGAAGCGGGCTCCAGCTCTGCGTTTGCGCACGCGCGGCGCGTGCGGCGCGTCGGCCAAAGGGCCCACTGCAAAGGAAGAACAAATGTAGGTGCTAGCTGCTTTACGCTACTTCGATTCAAGCTGCTGAAGCTTCTGGCACTCCCAGCTTTGCCAACAAGTGGCTGAGTTCGAAGATGCCAGCGATGCCAGCGACGCCAAGGAGCCAAAGGAGGTCCTGGCTCGGCCCACTTGGCTTTGCGCTCACCAACTCTTCCATGCTATGACTATAAGTGACTGAGACGGATCTCCCCTTTGCCTGTTTTGGTCCGCCCAAAAGCACCAAACCCATCAATGGGTTTTGTTTTTTCGATCCCAAAGCACAGAAGCCGTCATACTACTACTACTACTACTACTACTACTACTACTACTACTACTACTACTACTACTACTACTACTACTACTACTACTACTACTACTACTACTACTACTACTACTACTACTACTACTACTACTACTACTACTATCAACAAAACCCAGCATTTGAAGAGTTAAAGTTTTAATCTTCACCAGCTTCTGCTGGCTGATTCAAAATTGAATGGTGTTGTTGGTTCTGCCGCCTCTTTTCGATTATAGTTTCACACTCATGCTTCTCTGTAGAGAAGGAAGAATTCTATGCGTTGATTGCACGGATTGCACGGGCGCGTTTTGTTTCAAGAAATGGCCCAGTTGATTGCACGCAAGACACTTCGAAGTTGTTTAAGATGTCTGATCTCCGCCTTGGAAGTTCTATTGCTCCTCAAGGGACGCATTTATTTAAGATCATCTGCGATACTCCGCGGTCTCACGCGCCAGCAGCCTACTCACCCAGAGCAGCACCCGTGAAAAGGAGCGAGGGAAGGGCGTTGTTAACCCTAGGCCCACCCGTAGGGTTTAGGCCTAGATGGTTTCGCCTTCCCTCTCCCCAGATACAGGTTAGGTCATGCAGTGTGCGATGGCTGAACATACTAGTTGAGGCCTCCAGCTCAGCTCAGAAGTGCGCTGGCATCCCTTTGGACGAGAGCTAAGCCTTAAGGATTGAAGTATTGATCCAGCATCATGTAGAAGAGGGCCGTTAGGGTTCTGGGTAAAGTTGGGGATGGAGCAATGGAGGGTTCTGGGCAAATCAATGACCCCCACAGAAAGCATCTTCCTGTGGATTATGTTGCGAGGGTTGGGGATCTCTGCGTCAGGGTTCCTGCACGCAGGTACAGGTACGACCCTCCCGACCAGACCCGATCCCTACCAAAAAACCTGACCCTCTGAGCAACCCAGTGAGCCCTCCCACCCGCCCCCACGCCTGCTCTGCCCAGAACCCAGAACTCCAAGTCGACGAGGCCTTGCCTGGTTATTGTCAAGGCTTGGCTCTCAGTGGCTTTCCCATCTAGGCGCCAAACCTTCTAACCCCCCCAAGCCCGCCCTGCAAAACCCCCCACTCTACTTGCGTAAGGCGCCCCCCTCCTCAAGCCTGTCCCCGACATCTCACTCCTCCCCCCCCAAGCCGCCTCCTGGAAGTCCCGACGGATGTTCAGGGCTTGCGTCCTCTAGGACTTCTCGGACTTACGCGTGGCCGACAACAAACACCCTAACGGAACCCTGAAAGTGGTGGAAGCTTGAGCATCGGGCCAGATCCGGTTCCTGCAGGGCTGTCAGGGGGCTCGGGGCGTGGGGTCTGGAAGCGGCATGTTTAGGGGTTAGGGTTTGGGCGCGGAGGTTGCCACCCCTAGCCCCGCTTCCAGGTCCATCTGATTTCAAGTTCCGCTAGGGTGTCGGGCTTTGTAGGGCTACACAAGCTGTAGTGACCCATGCCCCAATCTGGACCTGCGTCCGTTGCTGCACAGGCTCTCTGTCGCTCGCTTTTTCCAGCTGGTTCCGGAAAGCTCTGTGGGCCATGCCCGGGGTACGTGTAGGGCTAGAGCCGCAGAAGTTGAAAGTCGAGGACTCGAAGTCTGTACAGTACGAGTTCGACGACAGAACTGTCAACATCGAAGCTGTCAATCGATGTCACTGCGGCCCGCCATAAATACACTTTCTACTAGTAATTTCGACAGAGACTCTTACAGCTCGTCATGGGCTTCGTCCTCCTCATCTGGGCCACCACCTGAAGCGCCCGCGCCATAGAACTTGGAGACGATGGGGGCGCAGAGCTCCTCGATCTCCTTCTGCTTCATCTGTATCTCCTCCGTTTCGGCGGCGGGGTTGGCATCCAGCCAATCTCGGCCGTCCCTCAAGGCATCCGAGATCCGCTGCTTCTCCTCGGGGCTCATCCGCTCGCCCAAGCCCTGGCGGTCGCTGCCGGAGCTCAGGGCCGAGCCCATGGAGTGGAGGTAGCCCTCGAAGGCGATCCGCGCGTCCGCCCGCTCCCTCGCCTGCCGGTCCTGCGGGAGCTACGACGTGAATGCGGCTTGATGCGAATGCGAGGCTTTTCTTGGGCTCCCAAGACTCCATAAACTTACATCTACGCAGAACCTACAGGAGGAGCAGGAGCAGAAGTAGCCGAAGCAGCGGCAGGGCAGCAGCGCGGGTCCTCGTCCTCGAAGGCCTCGGCCTCCTTGACCATCTTCAGGACCTCTTCCTCCGTGAGCCGGTTCTGGTTCTGGATCGTGATCTGCTCTTTTCGGCCCGTGCCCTTGTCCTCGGCGGCAACATTCAGGATGCCGTCGCTGTCGATCTCGAAGGTCACCTCGATCTGAGGCTGCCCGCGCGGCGCCGGGGGGACGCGGAGCTCGAACTTGCCGAGGGCGCGGTTGTCCTTGGTCATGGCGCGCTCGCCTTCGAAGACCTGGATCTCCACTGCCGGCTGGTTGTCCCGAGAGGTTGAGAAGACTTGGCTCTTGCGCGTTGGGATTAAGGTGTTGCGAGGGATCAGCTTCGTCATGACGCCGCCCATGGTCTCGATGCCCAATGTGAGAGGGGCCACATCCAGCAAGACCACGTCATCCAGGCTTTCTCCACTCAAGATACCCGCCTGCACCGCCGCGCCGTAAGCCACCGCCTCATCCGGGTTGATGCCGCGGTTCGGCTCCTTGCCAAAGAAGTCCCTGATGAGTTCCTGCACCTTGGGGATGCGCGTGGAGCCTCCCACCAGGACAATCTCGTCCACCTGACCCTTCTTGAGCCCTGCGTCCTCCAGCACCTTCTTCACGGGCCCCAGGGTCTTCTTGAAGAGGTCCTGGTTCAGCCCCTCGAACTTCGCGCGGGTCAGGGTCTCAGAGAAGTCCACGCCCTCGAAGAGAGCTTCGATCTCCAGCTGCGACTGGTGCGTGGAACTCAACTGGCGCTTGCTCTTCTCCACCTCCCGGCGGAGCTTCTGAATGGCGCGCTTGTCCTGAGACATGTCCTTGCCATGCTTCTGCTGGAAGACCTTCATGAAGTGCTGCATGACCCGCTGGTCGAAGTCCTCTCCACCCAGGTGGGTGTCGCCACTGGTTGCTACCACCTCGAAGACACCCTGCGCAACGTTCAGGAGGGACACATCAAAGGTGCCTCCCCCGAGGTCGTAGACCAGGATGTTCTTCTCATTCTTCTCGCCCTTCTTGTCCAGGCCATAAGCGATCGCAGCGGCCGTGGGCTCGTTTACGATCCGCAGCACCTGAAGTCCGGCGATGGCACCTGCATCTTTGGTGGCCTGGCGCTGCGCGTTGTTGAAGTACGCGGGCACCGTCACGACAGCGTGCGCCACCTCCTGGCCCAAATAGTTCTCCGCCGTCTCCTTCATCTTCGTCAGGACCATGGAGGACACCTCCTCCGGAGTCATGATCTTCTCCGCACCCTTCACCTTCACGCTGATCATCGGCTTGCCGCCCTGATCCACAATCTTGAATGGCAGCAGCTTCATGTCCTCCTGCACGGTAGAGTCCTTGAAGCGCCTTCCCATCAAGCGCTTCACATCAAACAAGGTCTGCGTGGGATTCACGGCGGCCTGGTTCTTTCCGGCCTCGCCTATCAGCCGCTCGTCGTCCGTGAAGGCCACGTACGAGGGCGTGATGCGGTTCCCCTGGTCGTTCGGGAGTATCTCCACTCGGCCCTGCTTGTAGATGCCCACGCATGAGTAGGTGGTCCCGAGATCCACGCCGATCACCGGGCCGGTGATGGTCGGCTCCTTGGCACCTCCGGCCACGGCCACCGCCACGCAAGCAGCGGCCACGAAGAAGACCACAGCCTTCACTTTCCACTCCATGGGGTGCCGAGATGTGCCGAGAAAAAAGGCCCCGAATCCCTGACTTGCTGAGCTGACCAAAACGGCTGTCCAAGAGGGCCCAAAAAAAATGCTGAAAACAGCTGTAACAGAACAACTGCATGCGGGAAAGCTCACATGCCCTAGACGTGCTGGACGCGTCGTTCGTTCAACAAGGGCAACACGGCGACAGCCTGCCTGCACACAGAGCTCCACGCACCGTCACAAGCTTCACCTGACAAAAGGTTCACAGCATTCAGAAGCAGATGCAGGGACGCTGCATTTCTCAATGCTGCATACACTCCAGTTCGAGGCGCAGTGCGTGGCCGCGGGTTTGCTGTCCAACGAAGGTCGTTGGCAACGAGGCAACGAGGCAGGTGATTAGAGGCCTGTCACGGCCGGGGTGCATCCTCAGCCCGGTTCCAGGAATGTTTGTAAGGACAGGAGGTCCTCACTCGACACAAGTCCCCGATCAGCACCAGCGTCACAGCCCCCTATGCAAGGCCCCATGGTTGGGGAGAGGCGCGCCGGAGTCCCTCCTCAACCTGCAAAACTGGTGGCAGGAATCCTCCCACCTGCACCACTTCTCGAGGGAGAGGGACCCAAGACATGGCAATGGCGCGTACGACAGTTGCATGTAGCCGGAAGCAGAGAGGCAGCAACGGGAGGCTCTCAACCGCAGCGGGAGGATGCAGCCGCAACACGTGGCACAAGCACTGCCACTTGAGGAGGGTCTGAGAGCCTAGTCAGGGTTGTCACTGCAGCATTTTGCCCGCAACGTGTAGCACAAGAACCCTAAACCCACCGGCCTGTGTGGATGAAAAGACCGCAATGGCGAACACCCCTCTCCTCCGCAAAATTTGGGGGGGGGCTCGAGGGTTCTGCGCGGCAAAGCGGAGATTTCAAGAGCTTGCGAGGCAGGTTTTGGGATTTGTTTGGGCTTCGGGGTTTGGAGGCCTTCTGCGTGTTGTCACGTTCCCTGGGGTTCCGTGTGGATCTGGGCACCCTGTTCTGCGGGGGACCTCATTGGGTTAAGGGTTTGGGGCTGACGTTGCTTGTGAACAAGCCCAACAAAATGCGGCACGGCCATTTGGGGATGTCTTCAGTCATCTTGTCTCGTGCTGGAAAAGAAACGGGGCTTCAGGCTTCCCGGAACGAATCGACGTCCTTAAGAGTAGAAGCAGCAGAAGCATGTTGCAAGTTGGGGACCGTGGCGAGGAAGACTACTCAAGAGCAGCGGGATTGGCTTGGGTCAAAAACAACCTGCTGGCCGACCTTACTTGCAGGCCCATCAGACGAAGTCTCTGCAGTCGGGGCTCAGCTGGAACCCTATGCGAAAAACCTGACCCCCTCTGCAAGCCAGTGAGCCCTCCCACCCGCCCCCACGCCTGCTGTGCCCAAAACCCAGAACTCCAAGTCGAAGAGGCTGACGCGGAGCCGGAGACCTTGCCTGGGTTTTTGTCAAGGCTGGGCTCTACGCGTTCCTACAACAAACACCCTAACGGAATCGGGCGATTTTTGGTTCCTGCAGGGCTGTCAGGGGGCTCGGGGCGTGGGGTCTGGAAGCGGCATGTTTGGGGGTTAGGGTTTGGGCGCGGAGGTTGCCACCCCTAGCCCCCGCTTCCAGACCCAAGCTTCCATCAAAGTTCCATTCGGGTGTTGTAGATAAAGTTTATAGAGGCTACACAAGCTGTATGGATCCATGCCCCAAGGTGGACCTACCCGTTGCTGAAGTGGCTCGGTGCATTTTCCGGCTGGTTCCGGAAAGCTCTGTGGGCCATGCCCGGGGTACGTGTAGGGCTAGAGCCGCAGAAGTTGAAAGTCGAGGACTCGAAGTCTGTACAGTACGAGTTCGACGACAGAACTGTTAACATCGAAGCTGTCAATCGATGTCACTGCGGCCCGCCATAAATACACTTTCTACTAGTAATTTCGACAGAGACTCTTACAGCTCGTCATGGGCTTCGTCCTCCTCATCTGGGCCACCACCTGAAGCGCCCGCGCCATAAAACTTGGAGACGATGGGGGCGCAGAGCTCCTCGATCTCCTTCTGCTTCATCTGTATCTCCTCCGTTTCGGCGGCGGGGTTGGCATCCAGCCAATCTCGGCCGTCCCTCAAGGCATCCGAGATCCGCTGCTTCTCCTCGGGGCTCATCCGCTCGCCCAAGCCCTGGCGGTCGCTGCCGGAGCTCAGGGCCGAGCCCATGGAGTGGAGGTAGCCCTCGAAGGCGATCCGCGCGTCCGCCCGCTCCCTCGCCTGCCGGTCCTGCGGGAGCTACGACGTGAATGCGGCTTGATGCGAATGCGAGGCTTTTCTTGGGCTCCCAAGACTCCATAAACTTACATCTACGCAGAACCTACAGGAGGAGCAGGAGCAGAAGTAGCCGAAGCAGCGGCAGGGCAGCAGCGCGGGTCCTCGTCCTCGAAGGCCTCGGCCTCCTTGACCATCTTCAGGACCTCTTCCTCCGTGAGCCGGTTCTGGTTCTGGATCGTGATCTGCTCTTTTCGGCCCGTGCCCTTGTCCTCGGCGGCAACATTCAGGATGCCGTCGCTGTCGATCTCGAAGGTCACCTCGATCTGAGGCTGCCCGCGCGGCGCCGGGGGGACGCGGAGCTCGAACTTGCCGAGGGCGCGGTTGTCCTTGGTCATGGCGCGCTCGCCTTCGAAGACCTGGATCTCCACTGCCGGCTGGTTGTCCCGAGAGGTTGAGAAGACTTGGCTCTTGCGCGTTGGGATTAAGGTGTTGCGAGGGATCAGCTTCGTCATGACGCCGCCCATGGTCTCGATGCCCAATGTGAGAGGGGCCACATCCAGCAAGACCACGTCATCCAGGCTTTCTCCACTCAAGATACCCGCCTGCACCGCCGCGCCGTAAGCCACCGCCTCATCCGGGTTGATGCCGCGGTTCGGCTCCTTGCCAAAGAAGTCCCTGATGAGTTCCTGCACCTTGGGGATGCGCGTGGAGCCTCCCACCAGGACAATCTCGTCCACCTGACCCTTCTTGAGCCCTGCGTCCTCCAGCACCTTCTTCACGGGCCCCAGGGTCTTCTTGAAGAGGTCCTGGTTCAGCCCCTCGAACTTCGCGCGGGTCAGGGTCTCAGAGAAGTCCACGCCCTCGAAGAGAGCTTCGATCTCCAGCTGCGACTGGTGCGTGGAACTCAACTGGCGCTTGCTCTTCTCCACCTCCCGGCGGAGCTTCTGAATGGCGCGCTTGTCCTGAGACATGTCCTTGCCATGCTTCTGCTGGAAGACCTTCATGAAGTGCTGCATGACCCGCTGGTCGAAGTCCTCTCCACCCAGGTGGGTGTCGCCACTGGTTGCTACCACCTCGAAGACACCCTGCGCAACGTTCAGGAGGGACACATCAAAGGTGCCTCCCCCGAGGTCGTAGACCAGGATGTTCTTCTCATTCTTCTCGCCCTTCTTGTCCAGGCCATAAGCGATCGCAGCGGCCGTGGGCTCGTTTACGATCCGCAGCACCTGAAGTCCGGCGATGGCACCTGCATCTTTGGTGGCCTGGCGCTGCGCGTTGTTGAAGTACGCGGGCACCGTCACGACAGCGTGCGCCACCTCCTGGCCCAAATAGTTCTCCGCCGTCTCCTTCATCTTCGTCAGGACCATGGAGGACACCTCCTCCGGAGTCATGATCTTCTCCGCACCCTTCACCTTCACGCTGATCATCGGCTTGCCGCCCTGATCCACAATCTTGAATGGCAGCAGCTTCATGTCCTCCTGCACGGTAGAGTCCTTGAAGCGCCTTCCCATCAAGCGCTTCACATCAAACAAGGTCTGCGTGGGATTCACGGCGGCCTGGTTCTTTCCGGCCTCGCCTATCAGCCGCTCGTCGTCCGTGAAGGCCACGTACGAGGGCGTGATGCGGTTCCCCTGGTCGTTCGGGAGTATCTCCACTCGGCCCTGCTTGTAGATGCCCACGCATGAGTAGGTGGTCCCGAGATCCACGCCGATCACCGGGCCGGTGATGGTCGGCTCCTTGGCACCTCCGGCCACGGCCACCGCCACGCAAGCAGCGGCCACGAAGAAGACCACAGCCTTCACTTTCCACTCCATGGGGTGCCGAGATGTGCCGAGAAAAAAGGCCCCGAATCCCTGACTTGCTGAGCTGACCAAAACGGCTGTCCAAGAGGGCCCAAAAAAAAATGCTGAAAAGCTGTAACAGAACAACTGCATGCGGGAAAGCTCACATGCCCTAGACGTGCTGGACGCGTCGTTCGTTCAACAAGGGCAACACGGCGACAGCCTGCCTGCACACAGAGCTCCACGCACCGTCACAAGCTTCACCTGACAAAAGGTTCACAGCATTCAGAAGCAGATGCAGGGACGCTGCATTTCGCGATGCTGAAACACTCCAGTTCGAGGCGCGCTGCGTGGCCGCGGGTTTGCTACAAAGGTCGTTGGCAAGGAGGCAACGAGGCAGGTGATTATAGAGGCCGTCACTGCAGGATTTTGCCCCGCAATGTGTAGCAATAGGCAATAACCCTAAACCAACCGGGCCTATGACGAACACCCAGCTCCTGCGCAACACTTGGGGAGGTTTGAGGGTTCTGCCGGCAAAGCTGAGATTTCAAGAGCTTGTGAGGCAGGTTGTGGGATTTGTTTGGGCTTCGGCGGTTTGAGGCCTTCTGGGTGTTTTCATGTTAGCCTGCTCCCGTGCCGCCACTGCAGAAAGGCTATTGACACTGTTGTTGTTGTCGTCGTCGTCAGGATGCCTGGCATAAGGGTCTCGGGTTTGGGAGTGATTTCAGTCACCTTGTCTCATCGATCTGCGTCCCTTCTGCGGGGTTCGTAGCAGGGGGTAGAACGGACTGCGACAACAAAGTCCGGGAAAAACAGAAGCGGGACTTCAGGCTTCCCGGAACGAATCGACGTCCCTCAGCGCACCTTCGGCACAGCTCTCCTCCACGATCTTCGAATCAGCCGACACCACCTTTTTGAAGAGCTGACCGCAGCGGCGAGGGCCCGGCCTTGTCGAGAACAACAATTGCAAGAGGCCTTTTGCTGCCAGCGAACTTAACTCCAAACGGTTGCAGATTCACCCCGCTCCCAGCCGAGTGTAATCGCAGCAGAGCACAAGGGACTACAGCTGAAGGGCTGCTACTCGCCGTCGCTGAGTTTGGGCCTCGGGCCTCGCTAGACATCTGAAGGGGTCTTAGCGGCAGACAGCTGCTGAACTAGACCTGCGCGTGCACCTTCACATCTCCCTCAACTCCTAGATCAAAAGGCCGAACAGCCCAACTACGAGCTGGACACCGAACATCACGAGGACTCGAGCGCTGCCCTGTCAACTCCGAACTCCAAGTCGTGTTTCGGGCTGAGGGTGGGGTTGTTTATCTCCGGATCATTCTTGATTGTCGCCATGACCATTTGCACACGCCCGTCTCCAAGCGACGCCTGAGCCAAAACCACCCCCACCCCCAGCACAAGCACCAATAAGCACCATGCGGGCTCCCCCCAAAGAATCCAAGGCACTCCGAGCCCGTCGGGCTGGTCGGAAGTGGGCAGAAGACCAGGGGAGGCCTTCGAAAGCAAAGGCAGGGACAACCTGCAATTCGCCGAATTGGAGGCTCAGGGTACTTATAACCCAGTTATTCGTGTAGATCTAACCGACTTAGAAGCCCCTCACGTACCCCAATAGGGTTTTTACTGGATTTGAAGTACAGCAATTATTCGGTTCCTAAGTACCATGAGCCTCCAAGTAGCCTAGGCCTAGGCTCGGCTCGGCGGACGCTGCGCAGCCCCCTGCTGTTTTAGTTTTCGCCCTGGGGATCTTCAACCTATTACGGCGACTGTCCACCAAGGACCTTTTGACGAAGAAGGGTATTCGAAAAAATGGCTGCCCTCCTATACTCAGCCCTGTACATTTTCGCCCTCTCACACTCACACGGGAGTTCAGAGAGGCACTAGAGGGCCGCAGCCCGCACATCAGTGAGCTCGTCGGAAGCATAGCCATTGGACATCATCTTCTCGTATGCGTCGAAGAACTCCGCCAGCCAGGAAGTCTGGTTGTCTGCAAACTCTTCGACAACCTCGCCCACGGTGAAGTACTTGTCGCCGCAGTTCAGGGGGCCCTTGAAATTCCCGCCCCACCTTCCGCAGCCTTGCGGCACCCCATCGCCGTTTTGGAAAAGCTGTCTGTGCAGGCTGATGTCGCTGGGTAGCATAGTCTCATGAATGCCTGCATCATCGAACTCATGCACGCATTCAGGGTTGCAGAAGTGCCCCTCCTGCAGGTTTGTGCAACAGAAGGTGTGGTTCATGACAGGCCTACCCCAACGAGACACTGAATACTTGTCCCACCAGGCGTGGTCAGGAGGGGCATCGCAAGGAGTGCAGGCAACCTTCTTCTTGACCACTTGAAATGGACCGCCGTTGGGCAAATCGCGCCATGACTCGGCCACCCACACACCAGGAGGATGCTCGCCATTGATGTCTTTGTAGTTGAGCCTCTTGCCATTCACCACGGCCCCGGTCGGGGCCCAGTCACGCTTCAGTGTAAGGAGCCGGTAGTAGCCGTTGTTGAAGATTCTGTGGGAGAACTTCCAGTTATACTTGAAGCCGGAAACTTCCGCCTGGAAAGTTCCTATGGTGTGGGCACCCATGATTGCCACGACTTCTCGTCCGTTGAAGTCAAAGTCTCTCTTGAAATAGCTCAAGGTCTTCCAGCCATCCCCATGCGGATCTGGGTGAGCTTCACGCTTGCTCGTCATGTAGGACCTCCGCTCGACTCCCTCCAGAGCTGGCTCGAAAGCCTCCTCGAAGGGATGCCCGGAACAATCTCGGCGGCCTGTCTTGAAGATGATTTTCCGGGGTGCCGCGACCCTGCAATCTGAATGGCCCCAGCGGGGGTGGTACTGACCCTCAGCACCCATGTTGGGGGCGTCACAAACCTTGTTGTTCAGCTCCATGGCGACATCCAGAGCCACGATACCTGCGAGGGCCCACAAATCTGCTCGAGACTTGCCGGTGCTTCTCAGGGAGGCGTCGAGGGCAGGAGTTCCACTCGGGTAGTCTGTCCTGGTGTAGATGTGCTCGAGCGCCTCCGCGACGACGTAAAGCCCGTTGTTGTGGCCGTCGTCAGCGAGCTCCGAGCGACGACCGACTCCCCACCAATCCAGACAGCCATCGCAGCCGCCAGTACCATCCGTGTACTTCATGCAGTCATGGAAAGCAAGACGCACGACCTTGGCAGGATTCGGTTCATAGCGATGCGCTTTGTCGATCAGGATGCTCGCCTCTGAGATGGCTTTTCGAGGATTTTGCATCATCTCCCGGAGCTTTTGCTTCACCCTCTTGATTTCCACAGCTGTCCAGGGAGCTCCCGCATCTCCCGCGGGTGGGTCGCTTGCGGCCCTTCTGTCGCCTTCCGCTTCCATGGCGTGGCCATCATGGAACTCGGACTCGGAGGACTTGACTGCCTCGCGAGTCTGGAGCAGAGCCGCGGCGCGCGCGGCGCCGACGCCGCCCGCGCTGCAGTCTCCCATGCTACACTCTGCACGTGCCAAGAGGGCAGCACACAGCACGAAGATGCAAAGCGCTGAGGCCATAGCCATTGGATCGTACCCAACGCTACTCGGTAAAAAATGGCTGTAAGTTGCTTGGGCTAGCGGCTTTGGAGGTGCCTGCTCGACATGCCCCGATGCAAGACAAATGGTGTAGGAGGGTTTAGGATTTAGGGTTTAGCGTTGCGCTGAGGGGGAGGCGGGCATAGACCGACTTCTACCGGTACCCGGCTTGCAGTCTGCAGGGGGCTGGAGAGCACGTATCGGATTGATTTCAGGTGTTGGGGGGGGGGGGGGGGGGGTTGATAAGTTTAGGGTATTTAGGGTTTCGGGCCCTCTCTGATCTCTATGTTTGTAGGAACTCCTGAACGCTCTCGGCGGCTGGGGCTCGCACGATCACCACGTGCTGCTGTGAACCTGGTTCATGTAAGTTCGCACTTGAGGTGTTTTACAGGGGGGCGGTGGGATTTGGACAGCTGGAGTAAGACTCGTTGAGTGGACACTGTGGCAGTGCTCACTCACACATGCCCACGTGGAGACTCCCCAGAGGTACTGGAGTTACCAACGCTTAGCCACTTCAAGACAGCATGGGCCAAGCGCATATCAACAGCCAAGCTCGAAACATTCCCAGATGCTTGCCAGCGGAATTCAACCACAAATCTGAACATGCATTTTGCACACGAGTCTACAAGACATGACGTACGGATCAACGGAAACACTCTTGCACATACCATGGCACTTTGCTAGCAGCCTCCCCGCAAAGCTGATGGCAGGCGCACACACGCGCATACGTCAGAGAGAGGCTCGGCTGCGGGCAGTCATCGAGCAGCCCTGTGTGGTATTGCCGATGGCGTCGGTAGCCTTGTGTGGACACTTTATAAGGCAGTGTCTCTGATCAGAAGAAGGAACGTGCTGTAATTCGCAGCGCAGCTCCAATACGAACAGCGGGTAAGTTCCACCCTACTATAATGAACTCGGACAGCTATGAGGCAGAGGGTCGGGGCTGCCGAAAAGCAGGGAGCGCTACTGCACCTGTAAGAACCCGCGTGCTTTGCTTGCTGCCTTTGTTTGTTGGCTGCTCAAGTCCTCCTGCTGGACGTTTCTCCTGCAAAAGGGGCACTGGGTGGCGCAGTTGTCACAGCTACACGCTTCCGATGCGAGCTTGCAGGGGTCTTGGCTGGGCCAGGGCACTCGGATCTGGAGCATTCAAGTCGGTCAAGGTACTTCGCTGTGTGTCGGTTGCATTGCCAGCACTGGAAGAGACAGAGAGAGGAGCTTGAGGCGCTTTCGGTCTGCATGGCCGAGTCAAGCAAAGCCCAAGGGCTCTAAAGGCTACATGAGCCGGTAGCTCTTGGCAGGACCGCTGAAACGTACATGCAGATTGCAAAGAATACAGGACAGCATACCCGGTAATTCATCGCCCAGCCCGAGTCGAGGGATAGCCTGCACACATCCGATAAAACTGAGAAAGCTTTGTCCCAACAAGCCTTACAAAACAGCAACAGCATAGTATAGTGTCACAAGTAATATGTACAACAGCTAGCAGGCTAAGCCCTGAAGGCGGAAGCCCGCATGGTGCATCAGGGCAGGCGACCCTGAGCCACAATAGAGACATAGCAAAGAGATGGCCCTTGCCTTAAAGGGGGGGGGGGGACCCCGAAAAGTTACCGGGAACATTTCCAGGTCTCTCGCCGGGCATCTGGGAAAACATGCAAACCTACCCCACAATCCGTGTAACATTTCAAAGACATGAAAGAGACAGAGAACTAAAGCACGCATGTGTAGGTCTTTGCGTGGGCAAGACACACAAGCTAAAATGTTACCAAGCCTGGGGGGAGGTCTCCTGGTAACAATTCCGACCGCCAAAAATGTTTCCACGAAACCATCGGTAACTGACGCAGCCCCCCCCCCCCCTTGGAAACATTTCCTAACGCAGGGCCATGCAAAGAGCGTAGAGCAGTGGTAATCAAGTCCCTCTTAAATCTCACCCGCTTTCTCGTCTGCAAATTAAGATGCAGTTATACAAGAGCCATGAAACGACTACAGTCACGTCCGCTCCGGTAACATTCGGCTTCCCTTGGGCCCGGACTGAGCAGGGCAGCAGGCGTGGCCATCTGCTCCTACGACTTCTAAGGCTACGACTGCTGCCATCACCACAACAAAACGCGTGTTGCTCTTCTACTCTACTTGCAGGTTTGGTGGTTGATACCACTTGCAACATAAAGCGTAGAAGAAGGCAAAAAAGTAGAGGCACCCGGCATTGGTGAAGCTAGAGAAGCGAAGGCTATCTGCGCGCATCTCAATTCTGATTGGGAAGAGCGAAGGCAGACTCTATGTTTTTGAGCAACTAGAAAAGCAAGTGCATCAACACACTGCCTGCCGTGAGCTTGCTGTTGTTTCTGGCTCTGTGAGCTTCAAGATGCATCAAGGCTTGATGATACCAGCAGCAGCGGCCGTCCAAACGTTTGAACCTACGACAAGGACAATCCAAGCTGCTAGCTACTTAGGAGGGGCGTCTTTGCACAGTGGAAAGCAATGTACGCCATATGCAGTGCTGCCACTACTCCCTTCCTACACTCTCAACTCCAAGTCGTCTCATAGTCATGCACAGCCGTGTGCAAAGTCAGATAGCTAGAAGCAAACATGCCGGATATTCTATTGACACCTGGGGAGTTCTAAACGCAGGATCCTTCGGTGAATTTTGCGCGTGCTCCTGAATCCAAGTAGATTTGGAACAAACAGAATTATAGATATGCAAAAACATATACATATATACACATATATAAATAAAAACAACAAAAAATGAATACACAAATAAATACATAAATGAATAAATAGATAAATGAATGAGTAAATGTGTATATATATACCTATATAAATATGCTACCCCCCTTTACACTGACCTACCAATTTCGGTGCTTGCTGCCCTGTGTTGCGTGTCAGAGCCCTGCCTTGTGCTTGACGAGATGCTTTTGCCGCCCTGCTGTGTGTTTCAGACGATGGTGTGTGTAGTGGTTCTGCGACGGGGCGAACACATACCCCAGCCTCCAGGACCTACCTTGTTCTCTTTCAAGCAAAACCAGAATTGTGTTTAAGAGGATTGGTAAAAACAGCCCTTACTCTTCGAGTGGGTTTTCGTGTAGAGCGAAGATGAGGCCCTGCTCTTTGCTTAACAATCTTAAGTTTAAAGGTCCTTTAATCCCAGCTTCAGGGATTCTTGTGAAGCGCCTCTTAAACCCTAAATCCTAAACCCCAAAAACCCTAAACCCTAAACCCTGATTTCTCTCTCCCTCAAGCTTCACTTTTCCTCCCCCCTTTTCTCTCCGCTTCTGCACTTCCGGCCGCGCGCCACGTGTGCGGACAGTTCAAAGGGTCCTCACTTGGGATGTTCCCTCCTTGTACTAGCAGCTCCTGATATAATAGGGATTCTAGTACCCCCTGCCCATACTACCCTACTAACGAGGGGGGAGGGGTTACTACAATCCCTACTAACTTGGGGGGAACATCCCAAGGTCCCACACTTACATGTACACACTGACCTCGTCAGACGGAGTGCCTTGGCAAGGCTTGGGCTCGGGTCTGTTGAGGGGTTCAGGTAGATGTCATCTGCAGGCTTTAGCTGGGGTGACAGGCATTAACTTGAAGAGTAGAACTATTACGACAAGAGAGTAGTAACGGTAAGACAAGGGGGTGGGGCTGATGTTTTCGACCCTTCAGATTCCACGCCTGGGGCTCCAAGGTCATCTGCCAGAGGGCTGTCACGCAGGGCATCGGCCTCTGCGCTGCGAGTGGCAGAAGTTCTTGGAGGCTTAGGCTTAGGGGGCTGAGGGTCAAACACCCCCAGCTTCACCAGGTGGACTCACCCTTCCACACCTCTCCCCTCCCCCCAGCCTCATCGCCACCTTTTGCCTCATCGCTTGTCTTGACCTCGTGGCTCAGGAGCTCGGGGTCCTTGCTGTCCTTCCTCCGCAGCCTCGCAGCCTCCTGGACAAGCCGCACGGCATCCTCGAGGGGCATCTGGCTCAAGCGCATCATTGCACGCTCGAAATCTTGCGGCGTGCATGTCTTTGGCCCAGGCTCATCTGCAAGTGAGGACATGTGCATGGACCACACTTCCGCAATGCGCGTCTTGACAATCTGGTTTGGCAGCCGCTGGTTTGCAGTTGCAAGGCGGCACAGGATCCCAAGGCACTCAAAGGGCAGCCCAGTCTGCTTCAACTCAGCCAGGCAGAAGGCCGTGAATTCACCACTCGCCTGAAGTGAGGATGCCCTGGAAATAGGCAACACCTGTACCCTTGAGCTGAAAGCCTCACAGCAACACCAACTACTGCTAAAACGCCAACAAGCACGTCCTCATCATAAGGGAATCCGAGTACTTGGGGGCTTATATTCTATAATAGGGGGCCGCTAACCCTAAACCCTAAACCCTAAACCCCTAAGTTCGTAAACCCCCACATTGCCTTCAGGAGGACGGCATGCTGATAATGGGCGCTCGTTCGAAGCACTTCTGCCCGAAGCCGTCGCAGGAACATCCACATCCGCCAGCCTCAGAAGCGTCATTGAGAGCTTTCCCCTCTCCATTTAGGGTTTAGGGTTTAGGGTTTAGGGTTTAGGGTTTAGGGTTTAGGGTTTAGGGTTTAGGGTTTAGGGTTTAGGGTTTAGGGTTTAGGGTTTAGGGTTTAGGGTTTAGGGTTTAGGGTTTAGGGTTTAGGGTTGAGGGTTGAGGGTTGAGGGTTGAGGGTTGCGGGTTGAGGGTTGAGGGTTGAGGGTTTAGGGTTGAGGGTTTAGGGTTTAGGGTTTAGGGTTTAGGGTTTAGGGTTTAGGGTTTCTCGTTTAAGGTTTAGGGTGTAAGTTTTCTCGTTTAAGGTTTAGGGTGTAGGGTTTATCGTTTAGGGTTTAGGTAAGAACGGTCCAAGCAGCATCCCGTACGCGGGAGTGGAGATGGTCTCACTGTCGTCATCACGCCCTGGTCGAATGACCATGTCAGCCGAACGTTCTCCTCCTCGGCCTGCTTGAAGAGCGGCACAGCAGCGTTCAGGACACAGTCCTTGACAGAACCTCAGGGTCCAGGGCACCCAAAAAAAACACCCTCAAAAGCCCAAACCCTTTGTATGTAAACCCCTGAAAAGAAATGTCGGGGGGGGGGGGGGAGCGCGCCTATGAACTTCATCAAGGCATTCCCGCGGCGCACCCCGGAGCCGCGCAAGGCGCGGGCATCTCGGAATATCTGTGAAGCCACGTGGACCACCAGGTAGGCGCCCGCGGCCATCAAGAGAACCAGAACTGCGACTGCAAGCCCCGCGGTTGCCAGATGGCTGGGCGACAGGACCATCAGCGCCACCACGGTGCTGAAGAGGAGAAAGCGGGAGATCTGCAACGCCACTTCGAGCACGTCAAGCACACCGGCTTGCTCGTTGGTAAAGGGTGCTATCCAAGCAGCAAGGCAAAGCTGCAAGCCCGAGAGCACCGGGTAACACAGGAGCTTGCCTTCAGGGGTTGGCACCACAGAGGTGTACGTGATGAGCATCATGACGCCGACGTCGAGCCTCTTGACGATGATGTCCCACCACCAGTACTTGGCCTCGTAGCCCTGAATGAAAAACCCATACTTCCGAAAATTCCCGGGCGACTGCCGATCAGCCAGAAAGAGCAATCGCAGCGCCAACAGGCCCGGAATGCCTGCGCACCACACAAGGAGGCCCACGACGGCCGTGAGCGCAGATGGGAAGTGTGGATCTGCCCAACACTGGATCTCTGGGCTGGGAAGGAGCCGGTAGGTGAAGATGACACTTTCCTCACCATCCTCCGGGATGGGCACGCACCACAGCATGCGAAGAAAGCCCGAGAGCAAGACCGGCCACAAGTAGACCAGGCCAGTCCAAACCACCGGCACGCTTTGATGCACCAGGTCGAACCAGCGTGGTCGGGAGTCGAAGAGGCCGAAGTCGAGGGAGTCCATCGTGGCGTCCAGGTCCAGGTCGTAGGTCTTGTTGATCTGCTTCCTCCGCATTTGCTGGCATAAGAACCGAATCAACCTCTGAAAGAGAATGCTCCTTGCAGCTCTGATCAGTTCTCTACATTTTTCTCCATAAAGTTACGGTCCCTTTTTGGGTACCCGGCATCATACTGTAGGGCCGAAAAAGGGACCGCCTTATAATCAGGAACCCCAAAAGGGGACCAGAATCGAGAGAACTCACCTTATGACCCTCGCCCAGCCTTGAGGAGAAGGCCTCCTCCGAACTTCTCCTGTTGCTTCCGCGTCCGTCCTGTCTGCCGTCACTCTGCGCACGGCGCGCCGCCTTCAACTTCTCGTAGGCGTCGGCAAGGAAGGTCTCCAGGTCCTCAAAACCCTCAGACGTTGCGAGGTCGGTGAAGTGGACCTCCGACTGCTCCGCCAACTCCGCCAGCTCCCGAGCGCAGGCCTCCTGGTTGCTGGCGGCTGCCCTGGCATCCAGAGCCTTGGCCAGCAGGCTTGGGCTGGAAGCGACCGCGTTTCGGAGGAAGGCATCGGGCTGGTGTGCTGCTTCGTGCAGCTGGGCGAGGGAGATGTCAAGTGCTCCCGACTGCACCAGGTCCTCCCATCCCAGGCCAGCCTTTGAGAGGCCGTCCTCCACTGCAGAGCACAGCCGTCTTCTTGCGGCCTCTCGTTTCTTCTGCCTTCTGGCCACCTGGTTGAACGCAAGGCCAAAGTGCTGGCCTAAGGGCACAAGAACGTACACAACGGCCGAGCTCAGAAGCACGATGGCAACGATGACGAGCAGCGGCCTCGGAATCGATGACCGAAGAGGCCTAGCTACATACCCCATGATGCGAAAGGATTGCATGATAGACGACGGTATACTCAAATGGTGTACTGTAGGGAACACGGTACTGTACTTTGTGCAATGCAGCAACACTCTAGACTATGCACGATCATATGCATGTCAATATCTGCCGGTGCTATGTGTAGGGCCTAGGGTTTCAACTATGTTGACCCATCCAAGTGGCAGGCACAAGTAGTAGAGGCCCAGGAACCAGGTTGGAGCAGCTGGGTCCACGGGAAGCACCTCTTGAGCATAGCAGTGGATGGCCGATTTCACCGACACCACAGTCTGGCCAAGCGACAGAAACTGGAAAAAACTCACCATGGCCGCGCGGACGCTTGCTGGCCAAGCAAGAAGACTGCTGCTACCACTTGGACCCGAGCTTTCTGGAAAGCCCAAGAGGCGCACCTGGTCGAGTTGAAAGACAGTGAGCACGGAGCAGGCAGCCACCCATTGAGTACCCATTCTGATCATACTTGTATGCAGCTTCCCGCTTCGTCTCACAGCATCTGTGGCCGCCATGGAAGCGATCACGAAGCTGATGGCAGCATTCATAGTCACATCTGCCAGAATGGCGGAAACCACTTCCGGGAGTGCCTGTGAGGTCGGGCACGGCTGGCAAGGGCTCTGAAACCTCTCACGGGCCCAATTGGCCGGGCACTCGGCACACAACATTCCGGCGGAGCCTTCTGCGCAGCGGTTCCCTTCTCCGCCAAGGCAAGCACTAGTACCATCCTCAGTCATCACACTGCACTTGTAGACCGTGACGACACCTGTCTGAAAGAACCCGGGCTTCGCTACCGGCATTGCATGGGTCTGGTTGCCGACGCTTTTGCCGAAGCCTCCAGGGCAGTGGAGATTTGGAAGGGTGGCACAGGAAGCGCATCTGGACAAGACGCCGCGGGAGTCAAGCTCTGCAAAATGATCCGGCTCGCAGAAGCATTCTGTTCGAGCTGTTGAGCCTGGCTCGCTGTCCGCATTGGCAGGGCACTGGAGAGTGCAAAAGCCATCATCACCAACCGCCTCCTTGTACCTACCCCTTGGGCAAAGCTCACACGAAGATTCCGAAGCCTCTCCCGAAAGTGACCGATACCAGCCCTCCATGCAGATGCACTCGTCAACAGACCTGGCTTGTCGGGTGGATATGGCGCCTGCCTGACATGGGAACTCCACACCCGTGCCGTTGCAAAAGAAGCCCTCCCGGCATTCCACGCAACGGCCCGCGTCCCTAAAGAGGCCCGGCCGGCACAAGCAGTCTGAGGCTGACCTGGATGCCAGCTGCAATGTGGATGTATCGGCCGGACAGCTCGAGCAGAGGCTGTTGCCAACCACCTCCTTATAGGCCCCCGTGGGGCACGCGTCGCAAACTCCTCGCCGGACATCAAAACCAAATCCTGGGCCGCATTCGCACACGGAAGGATCCTCCGGCTGGGTGCTCACAAAGTCAGGGAGGCAAAAACATGAAGCAATCGAGGTGGCACCGGCCTCCACTGCAGGGAGACAGGCCAACAAGAAACTTTAGGCATTAAGGCAAGCTTAAGCCAGCCACAACTCTGCCAATTTGCTGGCGCCCGTTGGCTTTTGTTGTTGCCGATGCTCAAGGAGATGTTACCGGGTAGCTCTACGCGACAGCCTGCTACAACCCACTATGGCAACATTGCCCACCAGTGCCGGCCTGCGCAGTGCTGGAGCCGTATGGGCAGCTCACGCAGGTGTGGCTCTCGACAACCCAGTAAAAGCCGATGAGGCACGCGCAGTCGGTAACTTCACCTGGGCACGGGGATCCAAAGCTTGCCGGATGCAAAGTCTCAGATCTACCGAGAGAGGTCTTACTCTCCTGAGCACTGCATGCACTGCTTAAACAAAAGGCAAAAACACCAAAGGGGAAGCATTCCAACAAGAGAACACCTCGCTATTTCTTGAGCCGGCAGGCTGGAGCCGCGATTGGCAAAGCTGCTTGTGGGGCAGCTGAAGATCTCCTTGCCCTCGCAGTAGTGTCCTTCAGGACACTCTTGGCAGACAGCGCCCACTTGGTAAGAGCCCGGCGGGCAAAGGATCTCGAGATGCAGGGCAAAGGCCCGGTGCTCCGCAAAGGAACATGGCCGAGAAGCAGGGCACCAGCAGAGGTGCACTGCTTCGGGCACTTGCGAATCCACATATCCCAAGTCCAGAGAGAAGGAGCTCGAAGAGGAGTCGAAGGAGATGAGGATGGGCCGTTGCCCAAAAGCTTGTGTTGACTTGTCCCCGCCACACTGCGCAGCCGGCACAGCCACTAAGCTGTCATTCACTGAGATTCCTACTCCTTGCCACTTTGCAATATTGCAGTGATACCCTAGGTGACACTGCCAACTCTGGTTCATGTATGGCCCCTCAGCCACGAAGAAGCCCAAGGTCGAATTGAGGGGCAAGGAGTGGCTGCAGAGAGGAAAGGCATCCGGCCGGCACAGACAAGCTCGATACATCCCAGGTGCCGCCAACAGAGGAGCTGCAGAGGCTTCTTCATTCATTGCAAAGTCGAATTTGTAGCCATCCACTGTATCGGCCGCAGGGACAGGTAGGCCTTCGATTGAGGCTGGGTGCATGCAGGTGTCCCTGATGGTAAGCTGCCAGCCGCTGAGATTCCTGCCCGTGTCCACCACGCACGCCTGGCCACGCTGGCAGCTGGCAACCAGGGACTCCACTGGTTCGATGGCAAACCTCCACAAATCACCTGGGCGTTGCTGCAGAAAGTGCTCCCAGAAGCTTCGGCTCATTCTACTCACTTCGACCAAACTAGATTACTAGGACCTACCTTAGATGCCACGTGGTGCCAGGATACCCAAGTAGGAGGAGTTGTAGCCACCGAACATCAGAAGCTCACTGGATTCTGCGTCGAGCAGCATCGCATGGGCAGTTCGCGCCGATGGGCGGTCTTGAGGCACTGTGGCCTGCACCCAGGTGTTGGTCAGTGTTGAGTACACATGTATGTTCAAGTCGTAGTTCAAGTCAGAGGTCAAAGAGGTCAAGGAGGTGAGAGGGCTTGAAATGTTCTGAACACCAGCAAAGACGAACATCGACCTGGACCGGGGATCCCAAGCCGCAGCGTGACCCCCCCGAGCAGTTGGCTTTGAGGCTGGCAGCAACTCCGTCCAGGCATCTGCCCACCAGTCGTATGCGTGAAGGTCTTGCAAGTACTCGCTGCCACTCCAACCGCCATGGACCAGCATCGAACGGGTCACGGGATCCCACACAGCCACGTGCTGGCTGCGACGTTGTGGTCCCGACGCAGTCGAGACAGCCCATGAGTTGGCTTCCAGGCTGTAGCGCTGGAGATCATCCAAGGTCAAGCCATGCTCGCCACCAAAGATGAGCATTTCTCTCATAGCCGGGTCCAACACGGCCGAGTGGCCCCTGCGTGCTGCGGGGAGGGAGGTTGAAGGCCGAAGCTGTGCCCACTGCCCCGACTCCACCCGGAAGGCCCAAAGCTCATTGTAATAGCGGCCGATGTAGTGGCCTCCGAAGATGAGCATGGACCTGGAAGCTTGGTCCCACACCGCGGAGTGACCAGAGCGTCTGCCCGGAGAGGCCGACAGCTCGCTCCACGTCTTCGTGGCGCGGTCGTAGCGCCAGAGGTCCGCAAAGTAGTGGAAGCGACCAGTGGCGCTGCCTCCAAAGAGCAACGCGGACCTCGTCTCCGGATCCCAAACCATGCTGTGAGCCTCCCGGCTCTCAGGACCCACACCCTCTGTGAGGTCGGCCCAGGGAGTGCAGCTGAGGCCTCTTTTGGGGGGGAGCATCCATGAGAGCGTCTGACAATGTCTGACAAGTGCATCTGATGCATCTGCAACTTATGACCGGACTTCCAGTGACCGCACAAGAGCCACGCGCACAGACACAGACAGGCATGCGTGAACAACTTGCCCGAGCCAGCCTGCAGCTTCCCGAAAGGTGCAGTCATGATTTCCCCAGCCATGGAAGGTGCAGTTGCGTAGGCCCACCTCGGTTCCCAGGCACTGCACGCCATCCGCGAGGACGTCGCCAGCGCCCGCATCAAGGGAGATCGCCGTGCCGCCTCCGAACTCCAACTCTCGGCAAGCTAACCTTGCGGCCGCATCGTCCCAGCCTTCGAGAGCTCTGCCGACTTTAACCTACTACTGTATACTTGCGAATATCTTTTGAATATCATTGAATCTCTTGAATGATGCCAAGTGACCATCGTCACACACGAGGCCCCAAGCGCCTCCGTAAAGGATCTCAATTGGTCCGGAAAGCCGGCTACTACCAGCAATGCGTAACTTCTCCAGTGCCGTGAGCGTTTGGGGAAAGATGTTCACTGGTATGAGGGCATCTCCCATCTCGCTCAACTCGACACCGATGTCATTTGCCCTGCCGGTGCCCAGCTGCCCCTCCACGCCACGGCCCCAGCACCTGACCGTGTGGTCGCTGAGCAGCACGCAGTTGTGGCGGCGGCCGGCTGCCAGGAGCTTCACAGCCAGCTCGCAGAGGTCCAGCGCTGGGAGGGCGTCCCCCATCTCTTCCGGCCGATCGCCAAGATTCAGATCTGCTGCCGTAAGTTGCCCAAGCCCGAGCCGACCGTTCTCTGAATAGCCCCAACACTTCAGAGACGCATCCTGTAGCACTGCGCAGGTGTGCCAGCCTGCTGCCGCGAGGCTGACCGCCTCGAAGCCGGCGCCCAGCCGGACCGCCGCGAGTTGTGCCCCGAGCTCGCCAGGCTCGTCGCCAAGGGCTTCCGGACTGCCTTGGCCCGTCTGGGCATACTGTCCGTCCCCCCAACACGCGGCCGTGCCGTCCTCAAGGAGGGCGCAGCTGTGGTCGACTGCTGCCGTCACCTGGCTCACTCAAAGAAGATCCTTCTAAGGCCGCAGGGATTTTGCAATGCGTATTTTCTAAGACTCCCACTGCATACATGCTACTGTTACTGAAGCCCATGTCATTCCATTTTGCTGTAGCCCACCTGAATGGCCGGGAGCCGGAGGTCCACGGGCGAGAGCGCCTCGCCCATCTCGCCGAAGTTGTCGCCAATGGTTGCTGTGCTCCCCTGTCCCAGCTTACCGTACGCTCCATCACCCCAGCACTTCACGGCACCACCCTCCAAAAGCGCACACGTGTGCGTAGATCCGGCACTGAGCTGCATCACCGCGGCATTCCCCAGGTCGACTGCCGGCAGCGCGTCCCCCATCTGGCCGCCACTTCCTCCGCGGTCGGTAGAATCGCCCAAACCCAAAACCGCCCCCCAACCCCAGCACTTCACCGCACCGGAGCGGAGCAGTGCGCAGGTGTGGTACTCTGCAGCTACGGCCTGCACCACTTCGGCGCCAGTGCCCAGGTCAATCGGCTGCTGCGATCCCATCTCGCCCGGGTCATCCCCGATGCTGTCCCGGTGCCCTTGGCCAAGCTGGCCATAGTCATTCACCCCCCAACACACCAAGGAGCCCCCTTGGAGCACTGCGCAGCTGTGGCGGTGGCACGCAACCTGAATTGCTTGGGCTCCGTTCAGGTCCACGGGGGGCAGGTTGCTGCCCATCTCGCCAGGGTCGTCGCCCAAACGTGTGGTGATGCCTTGGCCCAGTTGGCCTTGGTCGCTATATCCAAAGCACTTGACCTCGCCGCTCCCAGCGTGCACCGCGCAAGTGTGGTACTCGCCAGCACAGAGGGACACCACGGGCAGCACTCGAGCGGCGGGGGCGACCCATGCATCGAGCTGGCCCAGGGATACGCGGGTAGCGAGGGCAGTGAAGCGCAAGGCCTGCGTGCCACCGGGCAGCTCGATCTTCTCCTCCTGAACCCCGGAAATAGCAGGATTATGCCCAGATCTCGACCAAAGCTTCCACCACCTGCCCGAGCTCTGGAACTCCAGCTGCAAGCTGCCGCCTTCCATCATGTAGGTAAAGCGCATGTATGCCGGTGCTTCCACAGGAGAGGATGCTGGAGAGGTCACCTGATAGGCAACGGGCAAGCTCAACAAGCTTATACAAGCTGTCACAAGCAGGATCAAGGTTGAGCCGCGCCCCGCCTGCAGGATCGAAAAGGGGCCCGAATTGTTCTCCAGTCCCAGCCTACTCCCATAGTAGTTCCCGGCGACAGTGTTGCTGGCAACGATCCAGCCACAGGAGCCCGCCTCGACTTCAAAGCCAGCAGCACCTCCCTCCACTTCTAACCCACACGCAATGTCTTCCAGTCGGGGCACGGCAGCAGTTATGGAATCCAACCTCAACAAATCGGAGCCGATCGTGAAGGCCGTGAACCTCAAAGCGGTTGTTCCGGCCGGGACGTTGAGGCTCTTCTGTTGCCAGGCAGGCCCTGGACTTCCCATTTCGCTTGCGAAGAGACCCTCCCAACCAGCATCCTGGGTCCTGAAATGCACCTCCAACCTGGCACTACCTACCAACTGGTAAGCAAAGGTCAAGACCATGACCGGCTTTGGCTGGAAGGGAAAGCTGTCCAGAAGGAAGGCTTGCTCACTCGCCGAACCGGCTGGGCCCGGGCCCGCCTGGAGGCACCAGTCGCCGTCGCCAAAGCTACCCGAGAGGCGCTGCCAGGATCCGTAGGAGCTGGAGCCGTTCCCACTCTCCAAGCTCTCAAACCAAGGGCACCCACCAGCCTCGAAGTCACAGGAGAGGTCCCAGAAATCCACCATGGGGACTTGGCTACCGGTCCGGACGCTATCCAGCGCCAGCGCGCTCGGGACACTGCCGAAGCCGCTGCCCACGCCCTCGAAGCGCAGGGAGATCGCATCCACGGGGAGGCTGATCACGACCTCCCGCCAAGCCAAGGCTTCAGCGAGCCCATCTCTCCCAGAGCTCCAAATCTTCGCCCACCCTGCCAAGCCCAATGCACTCACCTCCAGCCTTCCCTCCCCAAGGATTTGGTAGCAGAAGTGAAGCAGCCGAACCGTGGTGTTCCCGGCACTGAAGGCGGGGCTCTGCAAGACCAAGACCTCTCCGGGCTCAAACTGGTTGCCACTACAGATTCGAACCCCAGAAAACACGTTTTTGCCGGAGTCCATCCAAAGGCAAGACGTGGCTCAAGTATGCTCAAGAATGCACATACTTTGTCACTTTGTGTTGCTTCGTTGAAGTTCAGCTTGAGGCTCAGAGTGTTGTCTGTCCTTGTAGTATGCGTAGTACACTCCATCCTCTAACATGGACCCTTCTCCATGAGACGGTGTGTGCATGCGTGTGCCACACCCTGTTCCTAGCCGCTGTTTCGTTGCTACTGCTACTTTCTGCTACCCTGAGAAACTCGCAAACACCCCAGAACCAACAGCCAACGCAAGCGGCAAACAACAGCATACACCCAGCATAGAAATGCATAGAGACTGCATAGAGACTGCATAGAAGTACGCTGCCGCAAGCCCTGCCGGGCCTGGTCAGGTTTCTCCGCGACAAGGTACCCGATGCCTTCGAAAGACCCGGGCAATGTACCCGAGTTATTTGAATGGATTCTCCAGGCCGCCTCAAGGCATTTTAAGGTTTAGGGTTTAGGGTTTAGGGTTTAGGGTTTAGGGTTTAGGGCTTAGGGTTTCGCTCTTGGAGTGTTGGCGAGGTCTCACTTGGAGCGGCTTCAGGCTCGAGGCTCGACGGTCTCTCAGGGCGATTCCAGAAACTCCTAGGTTTGGGAGGGCAAGTGCGCCTGGCTAATAATAATCATAACAATAATGATAATACTAACAATAACAATAACGATAACAATAACAATAACAATGACAATGACAATGACAGTGACAATGACAATGACAATGACAATGACAATAACAATAACAATAACAAGAATGATGATAATAATGATGATAATCATAATGATAATAATAATAATAATAATAATAATAATAACAATAATAATGATAACAGCAATAATAAGGTTTGGGGGCAAGTGCGCCTGGCTGTTGGCAATCCAGCCGCAGGCATCCACTTCAAAGCCGCAGCTGACAATCTCGTAGGAGTCTGTGCCAGGGATCCAGCCGTCGAGTGCAAAAAGATCCGCCGGAAGTAGGGCAGCTCCCATCTCCCCTGCGTTGTCGCCGACATCCTGCCCACTGCCGGTGCCCAGCTGCCCCTCCACGCCACGGCCCCAGCACCTGACCGCGTGGTCGCTGAGCAGCACGCAGTTGTGGCGGCGGCCGGCTGCCAGGAGCTTCACAGCCAGCTCGCCCAGGTCCAGCACTGGGAGGGCGTCCCCCATCTCTTCCGGCCGATCGCCAAGATTCAGATCTGCTGCCGTAAGTTGCCCAAGCCCGAGCCGACCGTTCTCTGAATAGCCCCAACACTTCAGAGACGCGTCCTGTAGCACTGCGCAGGTGTGCCAGCCTGCTGCCGCGAGGCTGACCGCCTCGAAGCCGGCGCCCAGCCGGACCGCCGCGAGTTGTGCCCCGAGCTCGCCAGGCTCGTCGCCAAGGGCTTCCGGACTGCCTTGGCCCGTCTGGGCATACTGTCCGTCCCCCCAACATGCGGCCGTGCCGTCCTCAAGGAGGGCACAGCTGTGGTCGACTGCTGCCGTCACCTGGCTCACTCAAAGAAGATCCTTCTAAGGTCGCAGGGATTTTGCAATGCGTATTTTCTAAGACTCCCACTGCATACATGCTACTGTTACTGAAGCCCATGTCATTCCATTTTGCTGTAGCCCACCTGAATGGCCGGGAGCCGGAGGTCCACGGGCGAGAGCGCCTCGCCCATCTCGCCGAAGTTGTCGCCAATGGTTGCTGTGCTCCCCTGTCCCAGCTTACCGTATGCTCCATCACCCCAGCACTTCACGGCACCACCCTCCAAAAGCGCACACGTGTGCGTAGATCCGGCGCTTAGCCGCATCACCGTGACATTCCCCAGGTCGACTGCAGGCAGCGCGTCCCCCATCTGGCCGCCACTTCCTCCGCGGTCGGTAGAATCGCCCAAACCCAAAACCGCCCCCCAACCCCAGCACTTCACCGCACCGGAGCGGAGCAGTGCGCAGGTGTGGTACCCTGCAGCTACGGCCTGCACCACTTCGGCGCCAGTGCCCAGGTCAATCGGTTGCTGCGATCCCATCTCGCCCGGGTCATCCCCGATGCTGTCCCGGTGCCCTTGGCCAAGCTGGCCATAGTCATTCACCCCCCAACACACCAAGGAGCCCCCTTGGAGCACCGCGCAGCTGTGACGGTGGCACGCAACCTGAATTGCTTGGGCTCCGTTCAGGTCCACGGGGGGCAGGTTGCTGCCCATCTCGCCAGGGTCGTCGCCCAAACTTGCCACGGTGCCTTGGCCCAGTTGGCCTTGGTCGTTGTATCCAAAGCACTTGACCTCGCCAGTTCCAGCGTGCACCGCGCAAGTGTGGTACTCGCCAGCACAGAGGGACGATAGGTGCACGAGTCCATTGCTCAATTGCCGAGGGGCGTCCGTGTCCGAGTCGATCCCTGTGGCGGCAGTAGTGTGAAAGTCAGCGATTGCAACCCGCCCAACTCCTTTCGCAACGAAGCGCAGAGCCAACGCCTCAGCTGGTATTTGAAGGGACACAGTTGGCCCAGAGCCGAGTTGGAGGCTTTGGGTGGACCAGATCTCGTGCCAACT